AAACACCAAATCTCCTTTCTGAGGCTGTTCTCATGTAAAACAAGTCCAATAAGAAGGTTAAGCAAATTTCCAGAACATCCTCTGTACATAGTCCAGATGAACATTAAGAATGAGTTCATTTAACTTTTCTAACATGAAAAGATATCCATGACAGAGTATCAGGTAAAGAATCAAGGGGCAGAAAAATTTGTTTACTTTAACTCCATTTTTGTTAAAACAAAACAAAACAAAACAAAACAACAAACTTGTATATGCATAGAAAAAAGTTTGGAAGGTTATGCACAACAAATTAATAATAACAACAGCAATTACATCTGGAGAATGGGATTAACAAGAAGACAAAGATGGTGATGGCTTTTGCTTTTTACTTTATGTGCTTTGGTTCTGATTTTTTAATAACAAGCATGTATTTTATAATGCAAAAGCCCAAACAAACCAATACAGATAGTATTTATATGCTTAATGAAGAATATCTGAAATATAGGAAATGGAAAAAGGAAATTAAAATTTGCACAAATCTTATCACTTATAGAAAGAAACATGAATAATTACGGGAAGTAACATTGACAAATGTGGTTGCAGCAAATAGCAGTCATGGGGGTGTTGCTTTTCGATTCGTGTTTCAAGGCTATACTACTCTAATTACTGCAGGAATTGGTTTTATTTTTGTCTCCCATGAATTCTCCTAACCAGTGTATCAGAAAGGCATTTACTTAATAAAAGAACAAAGAAAATGAACACAGCATATCTGAGAATGTCATTACCGATCAACTTATTCACAAGCTTCAGATTGAAAGGTACAAATATACTTTCTAATACTGAGTCACCACAAAATGATTTGATAATGCTAAATTCTTCACAGGGCACAGTGTCCAGATTATACATTTTCAGTTTTATTAAAAGCTTTTTTTCTCTTTCACTGTTTCACATTCCCGTCCTCATATCTTGTCCTCCCAATCACACTCTGCTTACCTGAGCTGATTTCAAAATCCTGGGATAAAGGCTGTCAGTTTCTGGAGCATCTCATAAACTTTTTGTAGTTTGTTGTGAACTTGCAAACCATGAATTGCTTTGCTAAAGTTCCCTGCTGTCCCATCTCTGCCGTATTGGGAACAAAGAGTTTTGTCGAAATATTACTTACATGAAAGGATTTCACTGTAGTAGCTTGAGATATTGTTCAGAGGACAGTTGACTCTGGATAACACTGAGTTCCACAAATCCAGGCTCTCCAGAACAGTTAGTACTTTCAGGAAGCTTTTCTGCAAATGGATATATTTTATTTTCACCCCTTCCATGTAGTAGAGAAAATGGGTTAACAAGATTGTACAATGATCCGAGGGCAAATGGGTCTGGAACTAAGTTTATGTCCCATCCACGATCAACGTGAGGGAAACCTGGAAATAAAAACAACAAAAACAAACCTTTTTATTTGAAGTATGTTTATCCCATCAGGTTTTCCACCAGTTTATTTCCTTCAATTCAAGAGTCCCTGTTCATATGGGGAGGGCTGTACAACACAGAGAAGACAGGTGGTGATTATACAGCATCTTGCTAGACTGATGGACAGTGACTGTAGTGGGGTGGGGTGGGGAACTTGGTGAGGGGGGGAGCCTGGTAAACATAATGTTCTTCATGTAATTGTAGATTAATGATAGGAAAAAAAAAAAGTCCATGTTCAAAGGGCAGTACTTGAAGTACCAGCTGGTAGGAGGTGGAAGGCCGAAGGCCACTTTGGGAAAACCAACCCAGAACGCTGGCACAGCCCCAGAGCGTAACAGGCTATTGCTGCTGAACTGCAAGTCCAGCCCCGAGTCAGCTCTGTTTATGCCAACTACTAACTGGTCTAATTTCTACAGCACAGCCTCCCTATAGCTTAATTCACTCTTTAATAAATGCCTGCTGTACACTGCTAGGTTCAGGAGTTAGAGCCTTTAAAAGTCAGTTGTGATCCTGCCCTCGTGGGCCATACAATTGCATGGGGTTATTCCTGATTCATAAGGTTTGTAGAGGGTTGGGTCAGTTATAGAGTGATCTTAGGAGAGAGGGCCATCCCATTTTGGTTTTATTCTTTGGGACTGAGGTGTGAATAGGTAGGGAGGAAGGTATGATTGAGCCACAGGTGCCACCCACCTGTATGCTTGCCAATGGAAGTCAGGTCTTACTGTCATTTTAGCTACAGCCAAGAAGGCCACCGGGGATTCCTTATTTGGTATTTTAGAGCACAAATGAGTCATGGTAGATCTCACCATTTACTTAGCCTTTCTTTCATGTCTCTTAATAAGGCTTCATAGTCGTCTCCACCAAAGTTTTGCACATCTTCGGAAAGATTTACTCCTAGGTACCTGCTATTATATCTTTGAAAAAAATCTAATTTTCTAACTGACTGCTGCTGATATGTAAAAATGCAATTAGCTTTAGTATATCTGGTATTCAGCAACATCACTAAGGTGTCTTAACATTTCTAATATTTTATCTGGAGACTCTGGGATATTCTATCCTTCAGATACCTCTTTATTTTTATTTATTTATTTATTTTTCAACTAAACATTACTTATATTTAAAAGAAATGTTTCTTTCTGTCCCATCATATATTAGAATATTTTTACTCCTGCTTCCTTTTCCAGTAATACTTCTCTGAACTGCCTGTGTCCTTTATGGCATTGTTTTCTTTATGTAGAGGTAAAACTGAATACAGTTAAGCATAAAATTCACTTCGACTTGTTGATCTGGTCTTACCAAGGCCACAGTACACTGATTCCAGTTGGCCCAATGTTATGACATCAGACTTCTCTTTATTAAAGGAAAATAAACACTCTTCTTTGAGCTGCCATGGGTCATTTTTTCCCCCGAGTAGAACACAATCCTAATGGAGACAACAGTGAACGTGGAGTTTCCATTCCACTGAAAGCAGGGCCAGAGTGAACAGGATTATTTCTTGACAGGGAACCATTAGACTGCGTTTAATTAGGGCTTGTGTTTAAAAAACTAAGGGATGAGGAGAAGCAGGATGATTATCTTCAGTCAACATTGTCTAAGTGGTTTTGCCTTTTTTAAAGTTAGTGGGGAAAGGGGGTCAAAGGAGAAAGAGTTGAGCTGGTGAGCAGGAAGAATTGTCTAGAAGGGTGTGCTGCTGAAAGGTGAACAGGGCTGCCCGTCTGAAGCATGAAACAGCACTAAATGATAAGATGTTAAACACTGAGATGGGCATACAACCCACTCTGGGATATTTCCATAGCCTTGTTTGTTCTCTGCCTTGACCCGGGATGTGCGCCTGTCTGCCCAGCACCCTCGGGTGGAGTTCTGCCTGGAGGTGAAGGGTGATCTAGCTCCTTCCAGGCATCACCAGTCTTGAGATGTTACGAAACAGAAGGAAAGAATCAAAGTGCCTTTTTTGTGTCACAAAGTTGTGCCTCCTGTTTCCCATGTTTGCCCGATCAGGTCTGAAGTGAGGCTGCAGATGAGCAGTGAGGACATCTGGGCGCGAGTCCTCTTGGGGAGGCGGAGTTGTTTCTACCAGAGCTTTTCCAGCGTCCTTCCAGATGCAGGCCCGGCGAATGCCGGCACCACAGGGAAAGGCTGGCTGGTTGGGCCCTGCTCTTTGGCTTTGGGTAGTAGTGAAGGAAATGGGCTGGTAGAATGGCACAGGGTCTTGGACTAAAAGATAAAAATATGTAAAGGAAAAGCCTGAATCTGGTTTTGCCAAATAATGAATATTAAGGCAGCATTTCTCTCTAAAAGATCTGTGCTCAGTCTTGAGAAGGCGGTATACCACATGACCCTCTTTAAGATTTACAATTCACATCAGAGTATTTATTGTCAACCATTTGAAAAATTACATTTAAACATCTACCTTGTGCTAAGCAGTGTTCTGGCGAGCGAGGGCTATAGCAGTGAACAAAGTGAGCCACGTTCTTGCCTTCAGGGAGCCTCCATTTCAGGGGTAGAGACAGATAAATTATATCATGTGTTGAGTAAATGCCATGAAGAAAAAAAAGAGTAAGCAGATGAAGAGAAAGGTTGTATTTGAGACAGAAGGCTCGGATGTAAGGACAGGGTGTTTTTGCTGAGAGCCAATCAAGGGAGAGGGAAAGCTCTGCCAATATATCAGAGAAGGGCATTTGACAGGTGTAAAGGCCCTGAGGCCACAACCAGCTCATTCTGTCTGAGGAAGAACAGGGAGGCTAGATGGACAAAAGTGGGAATTGAGGGACATCAACAAGATCTTGGGGGTGAGGTGGGAACAAGAGGGGTGGGAAGAGCGTGTCATGTGTCAGCAACTAAGAAGAATATGATTTTACTCTGAATGTGATGGGAAGACACAGGGCTTCGAGGAGCAGCAGCGCGCTCTGGCTTCCGTTGCGAAGGATGGCTCCGACTGCCGCACTGAGTACAGGCGGAAAGGGCCCAGGCTAGCAGCAGGGCCATCAGCAGGAGGCGGACGCTGGAGTTCAGGTAGATGTGAGGTGACGAAGGCTTGGGCTGGACTGGTGATGAGGGGACTGAGTAGGTTTGGGGCAGAGGAGAGGCCCCCAAAACCCTACAATCAAAAACCTTTGATTTCCTACTTTCCTTCTGGCAATGTTTTAAGCAATGTTGATTATTATTCTGCAGAACATTGCTTGGGAAATACTGACTTAAGGGATTTTTACTTCTCTTGTTATTCAACGCTGTTAGAAACATTTTTTTTTGTAGAACACAAAGACAGGAAGGCTGAGGAATTTCTTGGAGGTGAAATTTTATGGATTATGCAGGTTTATGCCTTTATGTTCCTTTTACTCAGACTTCTTTTTCCTTTTTAAAAAATTTAAAATTTTATTGCATTGCATATATTTTTGTAAGATGTCACAGGTCCTTCTCGGAAAGAAGCACAGAATAAACAATAAACAACTGACAAATGATAATTATATCAACATGAAAGCCAAAGGCTTCAAAAATTTACTAATGCATCCATTGAACCTGGTATTTCCCACTGCACTTAAGTACTTTCTTTTCCTTCCGAGAGAACTATATCCAGGGCCGTTCAGGAGGCAGAGAGCGTTCTGGCCAGATCCACAAGGAATGACGAAGAGGCTGCTACCCCAGGATGTGTGCTGTGAAGATGACTACTTACAAGATCAGCTCGAGCAGGTTGGTGACGTATGGTTGAAAGATGAGCAACTACTATAGAGAAAAGGAAGCAGATTAAGTTGAAATAAAAGTCTAGGATAGAAATATTTTTATTTTATTTGAGGACGTCTTATTCTTCACTAAAAACAGTATAATTTGTATAGGAATATGACTATTTTATGATTTATTTTTGAATAAATAACACCTTTGAAGAATAAGGAAAGAGATTAGACATTAGTGATTTGTAGTAATTCAGGTCCAGAATTCTAGCTTGTCTACATATTTATCAAGTGGGAAATGATCAGAGTAGTCAAAATAATTAGACTACTTACATGAAACTTATTAGGGACACATGTAAAACAAAGTGACACAAAATTTTGAAAGGACCATGTAAGGTGACTCCCACAATGAGGCAATCTCATCTTTTCTTAATGAGGAGATTTTTAAAAAGTTATTTAGGGGCAACTTGACTATATAAACTTGAAGGACCTAGGGAAAACAGTCAACTGCCTAGTTATTTAATTTAGCAATTTAGTTTCACAAAGGCATATTTAAAATCATGTATAATGAAGCATATCAACCTGGAAGCACTGCTCTCATGCAACTCACATGCCGTGACAGCCTTGCTGAAACTTTCAAATGCTTCTTCAACCTGATTGCTTTAATCATCATGAGAACAACTTTTGGAAATATTTGATAAAATCTGCTGTCTTTACCTCTACCTAATGCTCACGAAACACTTTTTCCCCAGCTCACAAGTACACATTTACAAAGCAGTTAGAAAAGTTGATTTTTACATTTGTTTTTAATATTTATGTTGCTACAACAACACTTTCTCAGTGGCTCTTTATTTATTTATTTATTTTTTGAGAGGGCGTCTCTCATATTTATTGATCAAATGGTTGTTAACAACAATAAAATTCTGTATAGGGGACTCAATGCACAATCATTAATCCACCCCAAGCCTAATTCTCATCAGTCTCCAATCTTCTGAAGCATAACGAACAAGTTCTTACATAGTGAATAAGTTCTTACATGGTGAACAGTGCAAGGGCATTCATCACAGAAACTTTCAGTTTTGATCACACATTATGAAGTATAAACAATCAGGTCAGATATGAATATTCATTTGATTTTTATACTTGATTTATATGTGGATCCCACATTTCTCCCTTATTATTATTATTATTATTATTATTAT